CATCAGCATCAGCATCAGCATCAGCATCAGCATCAGCATCAGCATCAGCATCATCGTCGTAGGCGTCGTCATCGTCGTCGTCATCGTCATCGTCATCATCGTCACCACCATCATCATCGTCGTCGTCGTCATCATTGTCATCGTCGACTGTGGACTGGGAATGGAATGTGCCCAACCTACATTGACCCCGTGTCAACCACCCCAACTGATCGACAAATGTGCCAGCCCCATGGAGTGCTTGGGCACGAGGCAAAGGAAACGATTCGAAAGACAACTTGAGAGAGTCTGGCCTATGCTGAACCATCTTCACTGATCAAATCAGCCTCCCTTAGCTGGTTGGTCAATCATCTCTATCATTATTCGGGGTTGATGTGTTCCTTCACAAAGTGAGAAGGGCCCGTCCACAATCGGATCCCTGCTACTTTTGGCAAGCCAAATGGCTGACATTCGCAGATCTGCAGCTCATCTCAAACAGGTAAATCATGGTAAATCATAAATCATCATTAATCCTTAATGTTGATGACTCTCTTGATTTTCGACCATGAAAGACTTGATCTTGTTCTCAAGAAGATGTCTAGTTTGTGATGATTGGACGTTTGGACATGTTGGAGGGTGGTGACTTAAAGAGGCCATGGAAGACAGACCTTCACATCCTTCACTGTAGAGTCATTTTGGAGGGACAGGCAGGGCAGTTCCAGCATGTTCCAGCCTGTTTTTGAGACTGGCAGCTTCTGATTGTTGATCACCACAGTCAGGTATTCAAGGTCTAGGGTCGTTGTTTACTTCTGATTTGAGAGTCGCATGTGATGAGTTCCAGCGCATTTCCCGCAGCTGCCTTGAAAGCCTGAGTCGAGTTGCTGCGCCACAAGCATGGGGTTGCTGAAGTTGCTGAAATTTAGGGCCCACATGAGAAACCACCAGGGTCTAGCTACATTGACCCCCCAAAATGGCTGATCGAGTTGGCTATTTGGAAAGATATTTCTTCATCAGACGGGATACAGGGTAGCTGATACACTCCCCGAAATCATCATGGAAACCTAAACCACGTGTTTGTATACAGAGGGAAATGGTAATCCAACGAGCCATGCCATCCAATTCCATGAGGATTTCAGGGAGTGTATAGTTGACATATGTTGACATATGTTGACGCAGCTGCAATTGGGCAAGCAAGCGAAAAGGTCGACCGTGCTGAACCTTTACCTACCATATACAGTACCCGTGTTCCTTTTCTTTCTCTCTCCGGGGCAGTTGTAAGTTCTTAGTGCCAATATACCATTTGACAAAACAAACATACCAATGAACACATGTTCGCATCAAGTTCTCAACAGAACTGAAGAAAGAAGTCAGATCTAGACACACCCTCCTTCCTTTGGCGCTGCGCTGCGGGCGCTCCTTTCGCGCAGCGGAACGCCCCGATGCGACGCCTTGCGGCGTTCCGACGGACACGGTGGGAACGGGGGAGAGAAGCTGCCGGAAGAACGAACGCATGGTGGTGCCCATATTGGTAACCCATATAAGTGGTCCCCAAATAGACAAAAGATGTTAAAATGTTAAATCCCACTAAGAGTGGATTGCATCGCGTTTCTGTATTTTCACTCCATGTAATATGTACGTTTTGTACTTTGCACATAGTAGGATGTCATGTCACCTTGACTTTGCAGCTCGCGGCCCAAAACAGGAGTTGCAGCTTAGCGGCTGTTTCTATAGGTTATCAGCCGTAGTGCTCTAACCACAGCCATGGACGCTCTTGCTATTCCTGGGAACGGCACATCATCGGTAGCAGTCCCAGCCGGTCTCATGACTGAGCCCACGGTGGATCTAGATGACCCCATGGGTTCAGCTCCTGTCACAGCTTACTTTCAGTTTGTGCAGCAAAATATCCAACAAGTGTACAACGGAAATGAAGATGCTATCATTGTTGAGGCAGAGAGAAGGCATAAAGAGATAATGGGACAATGGTTGGAAATGGTAAAAACCAAGTTTCGTCAAGCAATCGATGAAGTAGCGAGCAAGCATCATGAGGAACTCGGTTCGGTAAGGCAGCAAGCTCAATCTAGCTACAACCAAGTGCAAGGGGAACTTAGCGCTGCAAAAGCGCGGATCCTGAAGCTAGAGAGTGAAAGGTCCATTGAGGCTGAAGCCAGAAAAGCAGAACTGGACTCCTTGCGCATCCAGCTCATGCACGATTGTCAGCAAACTGTCACTGCCATCACCAGCGGTGCCGAGCAAGGTGTGGCAACGCTTCGTGCAGAGTTCGATGAGCGGGAAACTCAGCTTCGACGTGAGCTACGCGACGCAGAAAATGAAAACTATAGCCTGCAGCAAATGCTCGATGACCTTAAAGCCAAAGTGCATGCTGAACCCGAGCTAGAGTACCGTCCAACAAGTGTCATGAACACACCAGTGTCTACCCCTAGGCATGATGACACTAAGAGGAAAAATCCTCTGGAGACCATTGCAGCAGAGGCTACTGCACGTTTGAGTGGACTGTTCGCACCCAAAGCGCCGACGGCCACCATCATCGGTGATGCCCCACCAGGGGCAGCTGCTCCTATCAAGCCCGTGCTTCCAGTTTACGGAGGTACACCAGCGGATGGGGGCAAAACACCGACACATATGTTCCATAGCCCTGCACCTTCAATTCGCGAACCCCATAAGCCAGCGTCATCAGGTGCCATCACCTCTGAGCAGGTGATCGAATTGGTCAAGTCACTCACTCAAAGAGAGTCAGATGAGAAGCCAAAGGTAAAGGAGGCAGATCACATCAAGTTGAATGACATGCCAACCCCTGAAACCTATCGGCAGTGGAAACATCATGTGAGGGACGAAATCAAGTCATGTTCTGACAAACCAGATGCAGCCTGGGACTGGTTAATGGAGGTTTACAACACTGTTGATGAGAGGAAAGTTCTGGAAGAGCGGTTGTCTAACCCTGGGAAGTTCACAACGTTGGATACCAAGTTGGCAGCTGCGCTGACCAGAAGTGCAAAGGGTGATCTAGCAAACCGAATCATCAATTACAAAGAAGAGAAGGCAAAGCTAGGCATCCAGGTTCGAGGTAGGATGATTCTTCTCATGTTCGACGACTATTTCAAAACCTCGGAAGAAGCGGGTAGCCTTTACAGGGTTGAAGATCTCCTCAATGTGGTAAAGGTAGGCGATACTGTAGCGGACTTGAAGCGTTTCATCAACCGCTGGGACGCTACCATCGCTGGTATGCCCGAACCACCGCACGAAAACGTGCTTCGAGACATCCTTTTAAGGCAGATCCGCACTAGCACAATCCTAAGGTACGACATTGACCTTTTCGATCGTGCAAAAGAAGGTGACCATCATCGGTCTTACAAGTTTCTACTGCAAAGCATCAAGGATCTGATAGATCGGGAACGCCTTCGTGAGAATCGATCACGTATCGCGGAGCGAAATCGGCTCAAGCCAGGTGATCGACATGAGAAGAACGCCGCCCCTACTGTTGATCCTCGGCGAAAGCGTTCGCCATCGCGCGGACGATCCACTACTCGGGAGAAGGGTATTTGTTGGGCCTTTTTGGAGGGAAAGTGTGCAAAAGGGAAAGATTGCAAGTTCAAGCATGAAAAGCCCAAGCGTGATCCTTCCAAGAAGCGCCAACCATCCCGGGAGCGGAATGAGTCGAGGGACAAAAGCACAGATAAGGAGAAGAAGCGGATGACTAAGGAAGAGATGGCGAAGACCCCATGCAGGTACGATCAACAAGGTACATGCAGAAGAGGAGACAAGTGCTTTTTCAAACATGGAGAAAAGGCAGCGCCGGCTCCGAAAACGAAGCCAAGAAAGGACTCCCCAAAGCCAAAGGCAAAAGGAGATACCAAGAAGGCTGCCATTTGCCTGAGCAATCGGTTTGCATGTCTTGCGACTGGTGTGCCCGGACGGTCATGTCTTAAGAAGTCCTGTCTCCCTCCAGCGAGAAAGAGGTCTAAGTCACCTGTCCGAAGAACTACATTCGTTATGAAACCTGAAATTCGCACAATCCCTGCTCGCGGGGAACACTGCAAGATGGTCAAGCGTGAGCGCAAGTATAGTGTGCATTTTGCCACGAGCGATCGCGTGCCCAAGAGCGACCCAAAGGCAGCCCACATGGCCAAAGTAAAAGCTAGGCAGTTGGCTGAAGTTGTTCAAAGCTTTAATAGCGCAACAGTGCCCTCATGTCGTTTTCTGTGCACCGAGTCTTCGCTTACTTGTCGTGAGTGCCGAAGCTTGATCAAGTTGAAGACATGTCCTACTACCATCCCGACTATCGTTGCTGGTCCAGCACCAAGGGAAGGCAGGTTCTCGTGGCTTGTCGATTCTGGGAGTGAGCAAGACCTCCTCAGCAGGAAAGTTATGGACGCTGCTGGTGCGGAGAACCCAAGACGGGCTCCTCACACCATCAGTCTCATTACTGCGAATGGGTCGACTGAAGCCAGTGAGGTAGCTGACGTAAAGATGAAGCAGCTACTGGAGCCTTG